ATGGGGCATGATGTATATGGCTGATTAGGAATGGGCGTAGATTGAAACGAAAGAGATGGATGATTCAGCAGCCAGCCCTGAATGTGCGCCCCTGTATTTCTAAAGTAGCCTGGCTGATGGTTCCAAATACTGTATGTGTTGTTTCCAGACATAGGAATGGGATGATGATCCCCAATGACGAGTGTATTTTCAGCCAGGTTGAAACCACCAATCGGTCATGTTGGGTGATCTTGACATCAGGAGTTGCATCATACCCTGGTGGGTGGTTCGTTTTTTTTCCCTGCCCTGCTTGCGTATTTTTGAAGATGACATCCCTTGTGACATTGTTTTCTTGATAGGTTGAACGCCATTCGGTGTTCCACTAAAAATGTTATTTTGCATATAATGAATTGCTTAGTTTTCAGACACGCCCAAATATCATATCAAGTTGGCTACATCTATATATATATATAATTATATATATACTGCTGTACCTTTTTCCCCAGTATATCTATTATCGTTTTATTAAAGTCCCAAACTTACAAACCAATCAATACCATATTACTGCTCTTATATCTCACAAAAAAAAAAAAACAGCATATGCCCTAGCATCTTTTGTTTAAAAGAAACAACTTGTTGATTGGTGGTAAACACCATGCTTTCATGTATATAGTTTTTTTTTTTTTTCTGGTAAAACCCTAGGATTTCTTTGTGAAATGCTAAACTTGGAAGTGCAGTTCCAGTTATATACATGGCAAGTGGATATATATATATATACAGTATATATATATATTTATATTATACCAACTTACCATGGTCATACCCTAAAGTAACCTTTGGCCTTGCTCCCCCATGACATGATCCCACAGGAACGAGAGTGCCACGGGCTCCGACGCCGCGAAGGCGGTACAGAGCATCCCCGCGTACGTGGAGGTGGCGGACCTCTTCATAGCGCTGGTGCCGGAAGCGTGGCATTTTTTGACCGTGGCGACAGGTGAGCTGCGCTATAAACTCTTTATGTATTGGTGAGTAAGGGGACGGTCATAAGGTGGCTTCGCGTAAGCCAAAACTGCAGTGGCGTAAGAGCTGCGGAAGGTTTTTGGCTTTGAATGTTGTGCGTAAGCCTGCGTAAGGCATGCTTGAAAAGCACCTTTTGGCTAAAGAATGAAAGAAACATGAGGGTCAATATGCTTGGTCACGTTGATGACAGTCAAATGGAAGGGAAACCGAGCTTCAGATATTGCAGACTAGGCAAAACCAGTGTGGCACGGTTCGGTTCGGTTTTACAGGAAGTCGGTTCGGTTCCTAAACGGTTCGGTTCCTATAGAAACCGGTTTTTCCGGTTCCACGGGTCCAATTTGTTCGGGTTGAGAAATGCTCATTGCTGCCACGAAACCAATTTTGAAAAAAGAATGTGTTTTTTCGCGTAAGGAACGCGTAAGGTATGCGTAAGGAACGCGTAAGGCCCACCTGCTTTATCTGAACAGTTGCCCCATGGCCCCGAAACGTCGCCCCATGGCCCGATGGCCCCGTAAGCCCCGAAAAGCAGGCTCGAAAGCGTCGACCGCAACAGGCAACATTGAAAGCTGACGGTTCAGGCTCGTCCTCAACATCCTCTTCTTCAACATCTTCATCTTCGGATTCGACAAATGATGAATGACGCACTGAAATACTCTGTTGCAAAAAAGGCCGCGTAAGGAACGTGTCACGAAAAAAGATGACTTTGTGGTGACTTACTTTCGCGTAAGCCTTGCGTAAGCCCATAGAAAGCCCAGATCCCCGCGTAAGAGAAACCCCCAATAGCGTAAGGATGCGCAAGCATGTGCGTAAGCATGTTCTTACGACCTAAGAATCTATCAAGGTTTCCAGCATGGCTCAGGTGGGGAACGATGATTGCAAAGAAATAATGGATCTATCTGGATTGTGTGTTATAAAGATATTGTTTATTATATATTTGAATATTTTAGTAATAAAATCTCTGTATAGTATCTAATTGGATTTGTTTGTGTCATGCTTTGTTCCAAAGAGTTTCACAGAGTTTACGTGAATCATTGTCTATTTTAAGCAGGGGGCACAGGCCCATTGTGCATACCTGTGCCAACGAAGCTATTCCACAGTGGCGGCAGCGGAGTCTCATCACCTGCCACTATTGCTTCAGAAATGGCAACTGGGCTAGGCCAGAAACCCAACATGCCGCATTTGTTGATTCATTTAACGACTTGCGTCCTTTCAATTTTTAAGGGCATAACATAGTAGTGACGTGAGAACCACCGGGCCCATGCTCCAGCCCATGGAAAAAGAACATATGAGGTTCACAGCTGAGTGATGTTTTGTCTTGACCAGGTTGTCAGATGTTCCGTAGGAACGACCCATAGACAAATGGTACAGGAGGATTGTTGCAATCGTACCCGCTATAGCTACAGCATCATCTACCATCATCAGCAGACATCAATGCCGAACAAGTGTGTCTTCGTTCCAGAGAGCTGTCAAAGTCTGGCCGTGATCTTGGAAATTCCAGGCGTGTGAGTGGTCCTTCCAACATCATTGGCGTTCGCCTCAAGACTAGGAGTCAGAGTCACTCCACCATGTAAGCTTGCGTGGATATATATATATATAACCATGCTGTTCCATGCTTGATTGCGTCTCGTTTGCTAGTTTGAAGGAAATTTGAATACTTGCAGGATCTTGAGAAATTTCGCACTGAATTCTAATATATTCTAATTGGTTCCAGCTTTTTTCTGAAGGGTCGCAAGACCAACATGTAGAAGCCCAAAAACAAATCATCGTCATTGCACAAATCATCTCATCCTAATTCAAAAAGTTCCGTGATCAGTTCATTCTGCCGATTTCTGCTTGTCCTTTTTTGTGGTGTTCGCAAAGATTTGACCAAAATTGGTCGGGACTTTTTCTGGCATTTGTTTGTGTGTGTGTGTGAACAACTTTACCTCTGATTTCGTTGGCTTTGGTTCTTTGATTTGCTGGATTTTCCGTTTGGTTTCATTTTGCAGCAGGGGGGTCACCCACGGCCTTGATTGGTGACCCAAAGAAGAGGCCAAGGTTAGTGCTGATACCCGGCCTGATCAACCAGACGCAACTGCACACATCCACATCGCTTTTCAATTTTGCAATCCTCATGGCGCAGGGCCAAGCCAAGAACCCCTCTTCACCACTCTTTCCCACGCATCGCATGCGAATTTCCATTCCGCAATCTATATTTCATGGTATTCTCATGGTTTATTGATCCGGACTTCATTTCGGACTTTGTCATGATGATCGGAACTATTTTATGTAAGCATTGATTCTTCTTCAGGCACCTACATAGGCTCGGTGGCCAGGCTTCATCAATTTGACGGATTCGGTTCCCACCAGATCACTTATGAAGAGCCATAGAAATTGCTTGGGCCATTGGTATATTTTCAAGCAGAGGGCACAGGCCCATTGTTGTTTTTTTTTTCCATATATAGATGCTAGAGAATATCTTTGTTCCCTCTCAGAGTAGGTATGCTTTTTGTCTGCTCTCCGCGGGTAAAACCAGCTTAGGAAATGATGCATTCCGATACCAAGCTGCCCTGCAACTTCACCTCGTGGCTGTCTCGTGGATGGTGCCGGGCGGAATTGAGCCTCAGTCCGCATGGTGAACCGACGCCGACCGCATAACACCAGGATGACGTTTCCAAGATTGAGCGCTGCTTTCGGATCATACACTACAGATCAAATAATATCATAATATAATGTTATCACATAACCTACTTAGTTCAGTTGTTCAATTGTTCTTGTATAAGGGAAAGAGGGAGAGAGAGAGAGAGAGAGAGATTGTCTGTGTGTGCGCCTTGATTCTTCCCGGGTGTTCCTTTCGATGTTTCCAAAGTAGCAGGGGGCCAGAGGTGCCCATGTCATGTCCCTTGCCAACGAAGCTGAGTGACATGTGGCAAGGATATAGATCAAATATGTGAGAGCGGTCCCTAACCACGATATGAAACAAATACTTTAGCCACGACAATCTCTAGTATATATACAAATAAATGTTTATACAGTAATACAATAATATATACATGTAATGATATCAATATTGACAGGACACAACATGACACGACCATGCTGCTGACAATTTTGATGGTGTTTTTTTCGCACGCTAGCCAGGTGGTGTCACCTGCTCTCCAACAAACCAGACACCAGAGTCATCCTGATTTTCTCGGACCGCGAAGCGGAGTACATGCACCATGGCGGCGATTCAATGATTTTATTTGATGAATTGGGTTTGATATGTTTTCATGTATTTCATTCAATTAGAGCCGGGCAAATTTCAACAAGGTGAAAAAACAAATGGCAATAAATGATGACAAATAAATAGGCGCACCTCAACATATGTTGTTTTTAGGTTGGGGAATTATAGGCCAAAATCTGTATGGAATTGTAAATAGCTACGTCACCGCGCGTCAAAGTAGATGACGGGTCCAAAATAAATTGGTTTCAAGTAGATGACGAGTCCAATCATCCCAAAAACCATCAAGACCAATGGACTTGTTACATTGGTCATTAGTCCCACAAACATCCCCCACCAAAATGCGCAGAGATGTCTAAATATCCTAGCACCCTTGATGGGGTCAAAATCCAAAAGATTCAACATGTTTTTTTTGAAACTAAATATTTACAGCAATAACTGTAACAGTCATAATGTCTCAACATTTGGTTTCGGAATTGATGTGCGCACTGGCCAGGTTGAAAGCCAATGGCGGGGTGGGCTAAAATATCAGTTGATTTTCAAGTTTCCGCCCCACTAAACGGAATGATCCTGCTAAATTTTTGATTTTTCAAGAAATTGGTTCAACCACCGAACACTGTTTTTTGTTCCTTCAACAACACTTTGTAGTTTGTTTTTTTGGTTATTAGTTCAATTTCATGTCCCTTACGGTGCAATGATTTCAACGGATTTTCATACATATTCTCAAAAACGATTATATTTTCGCAACCATTCCCCATGTTTGTTGGTTACATCCCGTGTTTGTTGTTTGCAAACTACATCCCATCCCTTTTGACGATTTTTGGCTGGGAGATGCCACAATGAACAATTCAGAGTGAAAAACTCAGGTCAGCCCTGAATTGGCAACAGAACACCATCGCCCAAGGCGATTTCACGGCCACTTGGTGGGTAATGATCCAATATGTAAAACGTGTGAAAATCAATACTGGATAAAATAGTTGGGGTAGTTAAACAATGTTAAACATGGTTGAAACTTAGTGGAATCCCACCTGCCTTACATGTCCCAACAGGTGCCTCAGGGGAGCGAAGAAACTCCAGGCATAGGGTTGTGGGTCAAAGTGGCCTTGGTTTTGCAATGGGCACTATTAACAAAAAAAACATAGGTTGGGATATAATCCCTAGAACATCCTAGAACTATGGCTATATACCCGGGGTGACCCGCTTACTTCACTGGAACTGCACCAGTAAATGATGGTAACTTTCACATTCATTGTGCATCTTTAGAAATCTCAGGTGGAGAAGGACCGAGCTGTGGTGGTGAAACTTGGGGAGGCTGCAGTGGAAAGCAAGATACAGCACTTGCAACACGGCTACAGAGCACGGAACTCGCGGGCAACGATGTTTTGTTGGAACCATGTTGTTTCACTGTTGTTTTTTTTTCTCCAGGGTTTAAGTTGGCTGTACTCTAATGATAAAAAGGATATGTAACATAAATCAGTTTTTAAAGATTGGTGCAAGTTTGCAAAAGTGTAGAGTTTAGAGGAAACTGCTGGGTCAAAACAAAAGAGCTAGTCCATGGGGCCGCTTGGGGCGTAGAAATGTTCCAGTCGTAGCTGTAGATCTTTTCAGGACAGGCAGAATTCGGTATCTTCAGGGCATCAAACCTGCTAAGTCAAGTTCATCTCCACAAATAGATTATGTACACTGCTGCGTTTTCATTTTCTTTTACAGGGGGTAAAACATACGACTGCAACATCACGACTTCAGTACATGATGGTATATGGTCAGTGGGTAACATATCCCAGGCCGAACTCTTCAGGTTAGTGGGGCAGCCTGCCAGCCAACCAGTTTGTCCTGCTTAGCCTGACAACTCCAAATATAGACACGCACACACATATATATATATATATATTACATTCCATGGTTTATTCTATGATGCTCAATTTCATTTTTGCCACATCAATTTGTTTTTCTTTTTAATCTTACCTCGAAGATAGCTTGCAGACTCGTGCCATGGCATGGCACGCCGAGGTCGCGTGAGGGTCCGCTCTCGCACTGTCGTTTCTACTTGGCACAGCGGCCCAAACTTCTGGGCCAGGAGCCGCACCGCGACAGTGCTCGTTGTCACTCGTTGTGACAAACTGTGCACATTTGGGCACCCATCCTTACATCAGTTGATACTTCAAGAAACACAATTCAAAGATATGTGGCTCTCTTTTAAATCAGAGGCATATCCCCAAGAATTGCAATGGGTAAAAAACACCGACCATTCTTTTAGCATTCCCAGTGGATCGAATGTTGCACCTATATGATGACATTTGTGGTAAACAGCGTTTTTTAGGTCCCGACCCTATATAATAGGTCCCGGCCCTGAAATTTAGTTCCATTTGCGGGAGCCCTATTTCCGTTAAAAAATAACGGAAACACTGGTCACCAAAAACTGTTCAGATCCTGGTTGTGATTGCGCCCATGATGGACCAAAAATGTTCGGATTTAACACCAAAGAGTCTTTAGAAGCACCATCTTGGAATCACCAATGGATTCCCCCATGATATTTTCAGAAATATGAGGTAGGGTTGAACTAAACCATAACATATCCATGGAAATCTGGCCCAACCCCGACAAAATCAGCGCCTTAGTGTCTGGTGTGATGGGGAAACAATTCAAAATGAATATGTGTTGGGGGAGGAACTCTTGATCACGAGTTTGATGGGGAACAATCCTAACCAGACCATGCCCCAAACATTCCCAAACAAATATTTGTGGGTGAGCACTCCGAAGAACAATTGTTCGGGGGACAACACTATCGAATATCAAGGGCCATGTGCCAAAAACAAATCTCAATAAACCTCCATCCATGCCCCTTCACAGTCCGTCCCGCTCCGTCACGCTGCGTCACGCTACATCACGCTCCGTCACGCGGTTCCGACAAATGACCCAATTTTTAAAGGTAAAAAGTAGACTATTTTTGAAAAATCACGAAAAATCACGCTGAATCACGCTGCGTCACGCTACGACGCTACGTCATGTTTTCGACATGGTCCGTCACGGGTCCTCATGGCATGCCAACACCCCAGACGCTATTATATTACCACCGTATTACCACCATTTGTGAGCTGGGAATTTGATGAAAGCCAGCACATGGATGAGTGTCACATCACAGGATGGAACAGAATAGCAACCATTATGTATAAGACAATTGCACATGTCATGTTTGTTTGGTATTACTTCATACCACTAAAGGACACATGTTAACATGAGTATAAGACACTTAAGGTGCACACCCCGGGATGATCCATTGATTATAAGGTAGTCAGACGTAGTCAGTATCTATTCCATGCACCCGAAATTGTAATCTTGTTGATGAAATAGATTAATGATGAAGTACTGGTCCGGTTTGGTACGGCGATGTCTGAAAAGACAGCTGAAACATGTTTGTCAGAGCAGAAATGGCATTGATATTACCAGATCAGAGCCTCAAACCCCACAAATCCGACAAATTCCGACAAATGACCTTGAATCTGGGCTTTTACGGAGATGGCCCTGTATTTTAGGTCATTGCCGGTTTTTTACTTATTTGTGGTCACAGAGCCACAGGGATTGGTAAAAGTATATTTTCCCATCAGACGAAACCATCTTCGATCAGAGACGGTGGATCCGCTGGAGGAGAGGATCCGCTTTGAGCTCAACAAATTTCTCTCCCACTTTCGCTTCTCGAGCCTCAAGGCGGGCGATATGAGTTCGCTGGGGGAAAAAAAGGACTACGCCTGGTTGTTTCAATATGTGTTGCAGGGGTTAGTAAATGTCCTAATTGAACATCACCCAACTATGAGGATATTATCTTCAACGACTTGAAAGTGATGTTCAAAATCCCAAAAACTGACATTCACCAACCCCTGTGTTACTATGTTGGTTACTTGTTGTCTCTTGGAAATTGAATGATTGAATCTGTCGCGCTTTTGGGATGCATAACTCAACATAGATCATGAGTCAGGGTGATATGGGTGATACAACCAGGCAGAACTGACATTATCCAGGAATGGCAGTCTATTCAATTAGATCTACGCACGCTTCGGATAGGTGGTTAAGCCAGAACCCATAAATTTCATGACATCTCAAGCGTCGCTGCAATCGATGCAAACCGGCTATGGCGGCTCCAGGATGCTGTGGGAGTCGTGGAGGGAATGACCCCTTTGCTGTGCGCCGTTTTCGCTGAAGATGTGGACCTTGTGCGGCTTCTTGCGCAGACTCTCGCTGGCACAACGCTTCTCTTTTGGGGGAACTGTTGTGGAGGGTGTCCTATAGTCCGTCCTGAGGCCCGGTTTGGAGGTTTTGTTAATTGTTATAATCCATGTTATACCTGCGCAACTTCTCAGCTGCCATTTTTGCATATTTTTGATTATTTTTGCATAATTTTTCGGATGTACTCCGTGCAGCTGTTGTCAAAAGAGGCAATTACTGTGCAGACTGTCGCGCCAACTCACTTTAAAGTGGTGTCCACAAGTTTGTTGACTAATTCCAATAGCCACATTTAAAGGCGCACATCTTTTTTGAGGAGAGTTAGTTTACCAGATTTGTAACTTGTCAAGGTAGTCTTTTTTTTGTTTGTTCACCAGGTTCCTTGTCATCTTTGCCCCATGTTTTCATGATCAAACCGCCATTCTCGTGCCGGATTCCATCTACGATCAGGAACCAGGCAGATGTGAATCTGCGCTTGCGTGGGCTGAGTCAGCTGGGCTACTTTGAAGGCCATCACGGTGGGCCTGTGGAAGACTTGGGGGCCGCTACTGCGCCATGGTTCCATATGGTTCCTATGCTTTGCCCCATAGAAATAATCACCCCAAATAAATATGGGGGACCAAACTGAACAGGTCCAATACTGAACTATAGGTTCTATGGGATTGTATTTAACGATAGGGGGAAGGAATTCCAAGCGATATTGAGCTCAGTACAGCTATCATATGCCAAGATGGACCATCTATTAAAATTAGCGGAGTGGAATGAATTGGACGCACCAAAATATGTTGTGAAATATGCGTTGTGTATTGTGCCACTGTTGTTTGGAATGGCATCCTTTTGAGCTCGTTGCGCACTTGGGTACCAAGGGCAAACCACATCGCTTTATACATACATATTTGTTTATGTATATGCACAGATGGATTCAACCATGCGGCCCAAGCATGCATATTTTTCGCGTAGGAGAGGGTCACACATAGAGGTCAAACTCCTTTGATGGTGGCGGCCAAGTCCTATCAACGGGCAGAGATGTTGTCAACGTGTCTCGAAAGGGCAACCAGGGCTTGGTTCTTGGTGAAATTTCAGCCAGAATCAACAAAGATTAAGATAGGAAACTTACGGGAGGGTACCATGTACGACTGGATATATACGTGGAATGACAACCATTTTTGTAATGCCCCTGCCCTGCTCATAAATTTGGCTATTAGCAGTCTTGGGCTGATGCTACGTATCCTACGTTCCCTGGAATCCTTGTTGGAGCCCGCAAATGGTCTCAATCTTTGATGTCAGTGTTGGATAGTGGTAGGCCTATTGTATCGACAGCCATGGTCCTAGAATCCTAAATTGGTTTCCGGTTGCTACGTTCAGACATGTTTCTGTGTGTTGCAGATCGTCCTGAGTAGAACCGCATGTTTGGTCAAATGTGAAACCCAGCATAGCTGCATGATACATTCAGTAGAGCTTGTTGTGTGCCTTAAAGGATTTACTTTTATATTTGGTCCTGATTGGTTCATATGATACATCAAAATCCATCAATACAAGATAAAGGGGTGCGCTCCAAGATTACTCGGAATTTGGGAGCAAGGCTTGGTGACGTTCAATCATGTGCAGATTGTGTGAGGAATGCGATATGTCCATTCCTTGATGAATGAAGAGCCCCAAAAACTTGGGAATTGTCGGGTTTGCTGAATGTAGTTTGTTTCTTCCCATGGGGAAATCCACCAGAAATAAGAAATCTATTGGGCCCACGTTTTATGTTTGATGGTCCCCTTACGTAAATCCAAGTTTATTGCAGCAGTAAAACGCATCCAGCAACTTGCTCCTGATGATTCGAGGTTACTGGAGCTTCGGGCCGACATCAGCGCGTGACTCTCCAAGTTTGGCCCTGGATTTTGCACTTTTTTAACCACCCCCTCCCCCGACAAAAAATAAAGAAAAAATAAAGAGACTGCGGGGAATTTTGCCAGCCAGAATAAGGATCTAGGATGATCTCGGGGCCTAAGGGGAGAGCTGAAATTTAGTTCTGATTTTTTGTTGCCAACCGCGACGGAGTTGTTTGTTGCCAACCACTAGATTCTAGGCCAAACATGACCCAGATGTTGTCACATGATTCATGGCCATTGAGCATTGGCCATCATGTTGATACGCCCCGTTCGAAGCATCCTCCTGGCCCGTTTTAAGGATCAGCCACAACTAGCATTCAAGTCGACGTTTGAAACAAAGACCTTTACCAACCGAAGTTTATTTCGACAGACTGTTTGTGTTTTGCAAAGGGTTGAAGCTGACAACGCGATGTTAACGGAATGTAACCCCGATAGAATCAGGGACTTACTGCTCTAGGCGCCGCTCGGAGGGAATGGTCTACAGGATTGCTGGGCTGTCCGTCTTCTTGCTTTCTGGAAGGTAGCTCCCAGCAATTTCCAAGAATTTCCATTAATTTCCATTTTAAATTCCAATGATATTTCAATTCTCCCATCACAGTTGCCAAATTTTCCAATATATAATGGTTGATGATGTATTCCATCACATTGGTTCTTGGACGTTCTCGGTTCTGGTTGGTTTATGTGACAACATTAAACTCCATTGGAAATATCCTGTAATGGTCATCGCTGAGGCAATCTGGCGCTGGGATCAATGTGGCCTACTTAGTGCGGACGCCCGAGCAAGTGCAGGCCGCCAAATCACGTTCGGTGCCAGGTTGGCGATACCAAAGCTGAGACAGTCCTTTGCATAATATATAATTATATATAATATATATATATCATATCTGTATTTATATATATACACACATGGGTGCGCGTATTTGACTATGAATATATGTCCCATACATATCATTACAGATCTATATCTATCCCATGTCACATTTCCATTACCAAAGATACCCATGTTTTTCAACATTACATTACATGATGAAACACAATCCAGTGATCACACACGTAGGGCATCTAAAACCCATTTCCAATAGCTTTGTAACAAATTACCAAAGGGGATATCTATCTGTCTTACTTCCATTATCAGCCACTATTCACCCATTATTAATTATTAACCATCATTAGCCACCAGTAACCATCCTTAGTTTACACACATAAATGGTATTAACCATCATTAACCCTATGTATTGGGCAAACCGTTGCAACCCTCCGCGGCAGGTGTTGCTGAAGTTCCGCGCGGATCTGGACTCGCCCTGCCACAACGGTTTGACGCCCTTGACCGGCGTCGCCTCGTTGGCCAACCCCGAGACCGTCAAGGTGGGAGCGCCACCGGCGGCCGGGGGAAATCCATTTTAGAAATGCCGGGGATCCATGGTTTTTACAGGTTTTTAGTGAGTATGTTTACTGGCACAGATGTTTTTTATGTTTTTGAACGGATTTTTGGGGTTTAGGAGGCAGAGATGGTTTGAACGAGATGGACAAAAAAACATATAAAATTATTGATTCTAACATATTTTAGCAATTTATTCTCAGAAGCCTGGCCGATGGTCTTAGTCTTTCAATTCCCATGAAAACGTGTTTGCAAACATCCTGCAACCACAAATGACCCATGTCTAGAATCATAAACACGTTAGATGTGTCTATTCCCATAACCCATCAGAACAGTGGCTGGTGTTCATTTTTACTTGTCCATTTTGGGACGATCGTTGACTGCAGACTATGTCTCGGTCTCAGGGGATTAAAAGCACAGCAACATCCATGTTTGAGTCAACCATGACCATAAGTATTGGGCATGATCTGAAAGTGGGAGACCCCAGAATCCAGTAGATTAAACAAGCATGTTCATTCATTTGTCCGTGTAATATGTTGCCATTTAAGAGCATCTCCCATTTTCAGAGACACATATTATATCATATCGTTGGTAGTGCCATTGCATTCATATGCCCAGAAATGATTGGTCGCAGTCCCATTGTGTTTCTTATACCCCCATTGAAATATTGGGTAAATTGTAGGTTCAACAATGTGAAATCACCAAGTTACAACCCCACAATGGTGTCTACCTGATCCGTTTTTGGATTTTGTATAAGAATTTATCCGTATCATATCACCAGATTAGACCCTTATTTTCTGCATTTGGCTGGTGCTCATTTTGTGCCCCTGGCTTGTGCTCACTGTTACTGCCCCGGGGGTATATCAAAATTATATCAAATGATCAATTATTCATCATCCATGAATCATCCATTTTGTTGGTTATAGCTCATTATTAGCCATGAATGCCATGAACCTACCATTGTTTTCAGGATTTCCGGCTCACCATCCCACAGGCACTGTTGGCTGCACGCTGCGATCCAAACCCACAGCATGTGCCAGGGCAAGGTGCAGAGATGCGTGGGTTATTTCACGGGGGAAAACCGGTGTGAAAAGGATGATTGACCTGGCTGGATTTTGATGATTTTGAACGCTTCCACCTGATGTTTTCAGACAAACCGGTGTCGGAAAGAAGGGATAGACCGTAGACCTCAAAAATTGTCTTAACATTTTTTTAAACATATGCTATATGAAATATATATATATATGTAATATTATACAAACATCGTAACGATTTAGGCCACACATGATGAGGAGATAATCCAATTAACCAGAAATCAGAATGTACCAACCAAACCTTTGCAAAGACACACGGAGGGTGCAGAAACAAGGAGAAAGAAGTGGGAGTATGACCACAGTGAGTCTGAGTCAAAACCAGGTACTGCTCTCAGTTCTCATGTAGATAGTTTTAAGAAGACATGAAGGAGTCAAAGAGAAGGATTGTCCAATTTTTTAACGCGTTTTAGGTTTCAATCGGTTCTCATGTGTTTTCCGAATGGCCAGCGGGATATCATCAGCCCCCTCCCAAATGCCAACTGCAACCGGTGTGTGGTGGGCACATTGTGAAATCTGATTTTCAAGTAGTGTTGACCCATGGGCATACACGTATGTTCACTTTCCCATTAGTGTAGGTTTAAAGTATTATCAATTGAGGCATCTCACAATTGAAGATAGAAAAGGCATGAAAAGGCAATTCAACACCATTGTCATAATCTATGTCACTTTCTTGTCAGTGTTGATCTTTATTAAAACCTTTATTTCATCTATCATGACTGGGGATTTAAAAACGGTGTTCACCATTCCTATGTCCACAGAACTGTGGGAATTCAGCGTGAAGGCCTCAGCTATACCCCCTGCTTTGGTGCAGCGCTATTTTCCAAGAATAACCGGCATGGGGCCGAGAGCCTTGGCAGCACATGCAAGCACAAGACAAGGTCCAGGCTGGAAGCAGATCAGGAGATGCTGCTGTTTCTCTTGAACATCGTGGTATTTTTTTTGTGCTTTGATTCACCAACAACAGCCATCCAAGTTTGTAGTTTTGGGGGTGCTCACATTTTGACCCATACCCATATGGCTAGATTCTGTCGCGACCGAAACCCCAGCTCGCCTCACAGCCATCCCAAAATGGCACAGAAAGATTCGCGAAGAATTTTGGAGAATTTTGGATTGCCCAGAATTTGTAGTATATCTCCCAAACCCAAATCGAACTCCGCAAATGTGACGCAAGACCAGTGGATTTGGATGGATCCTTCCATAAGCAGAGACTGCGACCCCTAGTGGCCCTAGTTCATACTGATACAGCTACTCAAGCAACTTAGGTAGTCTTAGACTAGTTGGATTCAACCAGCTTCGGTCATCTTAGATCATCTCAGATGAAAAAGCAACCTTACAGAACGCCCCAATCCATGGGCCCCGAGGAACATGCGTTTGCTCATCGAGCACCGCGCGGATATCAACGTCAGAGCGAGGCCTCAAGGCCTGCTGCGGCGTGAGGAAGGGGGCCGATGATTCGTTTCCGAGGTCGGAAAATGGCCATGGAAAAAAATGAAAACCTATAGTAAAAAAAAGGAGCGTCAAGCGAAAACAAGATGAGCAATTTGATGTAATCAACGCAGACATGAACAAGTAAGTGTAGGGAGAAAATGTGTGATGATCTGTGACATCTTACTTGGAACATCGAGTTGCCGGAGTCGACCCCCCATGGTTGGGATCCATAGATCATCGATCCGGTGAGATCTCGCTGCAGGACTCTTGAAATTTGTTTGTCAATCCCTCCGTGCATATGTGCCTTGGTGGAGACCATGGCCATGCTCCCTGCTGGTTTCAAGCCCGATGGTTTGGAATCTTGAGGATACCCCCCACTTTGTGAAAATCACCTTTTTTTTTTCGGGATTCTTGGGGTTCGAAAACCATTGGGCCCCAAACCGCCCGCCAGCAAGTCATTAGTTAAAACTTAAAACAATTATATGCCCAAGAAGACAAGTATTCTTCACTGTTTTGGAGTGATACACCCTTTTCCGTCCCGTTCAGAGGGTGACGCACTTGATGACAGCAAAGATAAGTCTTTGCTGGGGCTGTTCGGTTGGCTCAATGTCCAAATTAGATTGACATGGAAGACGTATAACGCTTAGAAGGCTCTCCCTACTTGCAGAAATTCTTCCGGGGTCAAACCGCGCGGGTGGGCACAACTGGCCATAGATATGGAGGGGCCAACGTGCCAATGATGGTTTTAACACTGGCAAGCCCTACTGAGCGAGATATTCAAGAGCCTTTAGTCGTCCCCACAAATAGAAGCGTAGTGAAGCATGTTAAGCTACCCTTGGGGCACAGAGGATTCGGCAGCCACCCAGGATGACCGGATTACAGTAGCATTACGATTTTTGAGTCTCAGATTACACTTTGAGGAATGATTGGGTGCATGAATCTCAAGGAACTCTCAATCTAAACAGCAGTGCACACCTTGTCCCAACAGTTTGCGTGTGTGCAAGTCCCAGTGTCATAGCCGACGTTTTTTTGATTGTTAACAGGTATTGTCGGTATTGTCCCAACAACGATAAATAATATAAATAGATGCTGAACTTGTTTTTTTCATACCCATGTACAGTACATCAAGAGCCATCTTCAAAGCCCAAAAAAATCCGACCGTTGTTGTATCGACTCACCAGCCTCAGGTGGAGCTTTTGGGCGACTGGGCGGCATACCGACCTTTTTTGGGACCAGGTGATAAACATCATTGAGATTTTTCATGATATCTCGTCATTTAGTTCTCAAGATTATTGAAAAATCCGTGTGCAGTAGTGGCACGTAGCCTACCCTGCGGGGTAATCAAACATGACAATTGAAAGCCCCCATTCGCAATATCTGTATAAATGTTTGAAACCATCTACGGATCGGTGATTTTTCAGCTTGTCATGTTTGAGTACCAAAGGGTAACCAATTCAAGAGCTCATTGAAATCAAGCTCTTGCTGGTTGAATCCACTTCTTTGTTGGATTTTGCATCCATCTGTTGTTCTAATCCCTTCCCCATAAATAAAAAAAGATCTGCATGGCTAGAAGGAGGATTTACATACATTTGGGACAATTTACATTGTGTTTTATACTAGGGGGAAGGGATTCAATCCCAGCATATTTTGTCATGTGCCACCTCTGCAACGCCCCAGCGACGAGGATCCGAATGCAGATCAAAGCATGTGCCTGGGGCAGAGCTTTGAGGGTGGCAAAGGAGTCTCCAAAAATAGTTCGGATTCAGAAAATTGGTCCGCTAAATTTACCATGTCCTATGTATCCTTGTTAAAACTCAGTTCTTGTATTTGACCACTCAGTTTTTCTCGGTGAAAATACCCCAGTTTTTTCCTTGGCATCTTGGTTGAATCCGTTGATCATAGCTGTTTTTCCCTCTTCACTCCTCATTTTTTCTCGCTGTGTGGATCTCGTCAATCCCATTTTTGAGCCAAGGTAGTCTATCTGGCAAATTTCCCGGGCATGAGCCCCATGAGTGTAGCTGCTATGGTGGGCAATGAGCCTTGGGCAAAGAAGAGAAACACTTGACAATAGGAATGCATAGGAATGTGGCCTAAGTAGTTTTTTGGGAGTGGACAATTGTCCCAAAATGATGTGACTTTGACATGTCAATATTTGGAAATTAGTATGCCTGTTTTGTCCGTATTATAATCATATATATATATATAAATGTAATCTGTACTATGCATGTACAGGAACTTTCAATGGGCAATGGGTGCAGCTCCGTGTATATATTCGAGAGCGTGGTCATTGAATGACATGATTGGACATGGTGTCGGGCTGTCGGTGTTTTGACCCACCAGTACAATATACATACAACACCGACCACAGCTGGAACATAGGACGATGTCACCCAGTTACAATGAAACTTAACAACGGCCCATGACATTGGGTATCTCCTCCTGTTCTCACTTGGTTGTATTTCGCCCCTTTTCTCGAGATGTTCCTTAACGACTCATGTTTTTCCCTCCTTGGGTGGGTTGGAAAATAGCACCATGAATGGATCCACATCGACTTTCCACCTGGATCCATGGGAATCCACGTGAATCCACGAAGCTGATCCGAAGGAAGAGATGACCAAGATCCTTTGGGACGCAGGGGCGGAGAATATGCCAAATGATCGCGGGTTCATGCCAGACGCTTGGATGCTTTTGGTTGGGCCAAGGACCTGGCGCAGTACTGCGCCAGGTTGGCGGAATGGTGAAAGGATCTGAGGGTCTGAGGGATTGAATGTTTGATGGATTTGAGGGATAAATATTGCAGGAAATAAGTGGCAAAAAAAATTGTTACATGTGTGTGTTGCTGTTTTTTCATTGGATCCTGCGTTTTTTTTAGGATTCAGGGGTCCTGCAAATTCAACCGAATTTGGTTGTGAGTTACCTCACGCTGGCACCCTTCTGCTCCCAACCCCAAAATCTATCTAGAATAGAATAGATCATGGGTGGTAATTTGCCCGATTTGGGGGTGTTGAATTTTGACCCATAGCTAACTTGATGGTCCACAAGATTGACCAATGTTTGAGGTTTGTGGGTGCCGGAAGGGTGTGAGACACATGGGAGGCATGCTGATGATGTGCAGCACCTTCAAATGTGGCCGTTGCCAACTAAATCAATAACTGCATGTAGATCATACATCATACATGTAACCGCATCCCCCAATATTGCATGCTACCCTCGATAAGGGGAGTGTGAGGTGTGTACAATGATAAAACCCAGATGCTTACTGCTTAAATCCGAAGGTTTGCTGCTTCAAGTCCCGCTTATTCCATCATGTGATGGTTGAAACTGAAACCCAATCGTTTGATGCTCCAAAACTGGAAATCCCAATATCATTAGAAGAACATAGATAAAATCCCAGTTTACCCCAAGCTTATTTGTTTTTTCCCTTTGATCCAACTTGAAATTTGTATGTTTACAACGGGCACCTGGAAATTTCCTCAGGTCCCACCACACCACCCTAGGAAGACCTGGCCACGCTCAATGGGCATCGTCACTTGCTCCCCATGATATCAACCTTTCACAGCTGAGCGGCGCAGAGTATTGGCTGGAGATCGGAGATTATACTGGTAATGAATGGGTAATGATATAAAACTTTTTTGGGCATTTGTTTCATAGTTGTTTTATGTATACTTGCGTGATGTTTAAGTGGTTTCAGATGTTTCTCGTCGGATCGGCTTTAAACATTACATTGAATTGAATGGTGAAACACAGCCCTAAAACGCCAACAAAAGTGAGGAAAGAAAAGATGTGACAAGCAGAGCTGTGATTGCGGTATCATACCATTGGTATGACCCTGGGTGTGGGCCTAGTGGGCCTAGAGTAGTTGAGGTTATTTACCTTGGTAGTTGGGGACAGCAGACCCCAGGTAGCACTATATCTAGCAATTGATTGGAGGGTATGAAAACGTCGCAGACTTCTTGAGGCTTCCTGGATTGGACATCAAAGCTTGGAAACATAGGCTGAGTATAAAGACGGGCTGATGGCAAGTGGTATGTTCTATAGCCCCTGGGATCCCCTGGGGTGATGACCCAACGAATCTCTGATGACAGATGTATTCAAAGGTGGCTAGGTCACAGCGGTCTGCCGAAGAGCAATTTGAAGCTGTGACATGCCGTGCATCGAAGATATCGAAGGATCTGGCTGAAGAAACTGGGCGATGCAGATGTTTTCCTTGGAGTTGGTGACCGGTGTACCATAGATCATGCCTTGATATGCCTGGCTGTTCTTCCAATCTCATTCCGAACTCCCAACAATCACTGGCTGGTAGTTTCAGATAGTTCATTCTTTACAATCATATTTTTGTGCCGAAATACTTACAGTACCCCAACCGACTGTTTTTTGGGGACAGGTCTTACACCACTCCGAAATGAGAGCATGCTTCCGAAATCGTCCGCATTGCTTTCGGCCGCTTTCGCCGTCTCCAGTCAAGGAATTCAAAAGTCATAATCATTATGCAACTTTGGCACTGCATCCTGGTTCTGATTCTAGAATATTCTAGACAAGTTGTCAAGACAGAAAGCCCCCAAGCTAGGCATCAAAGTCTTCAAAGTGGTGAACTGTTCGTTCATCTTGAAATTGCGATCCTCTTACCTCTTACCCAGAGAAATTCACAAATTCAGAACCCCCTGTAAGGGGGACACCAGGAAAACTGAGTCAAAGTTTGAATGCCTTTGGTGCAAGCAAGTTGTCTCGAGATGTTGTTGTTCATCACAAGGAAGGACCTGACTGATAAGACGTGTCTTTCTACAGTGACACCCTGACTATAATAAAGTTCTTATTTCAGAACACCCCTTCTTGTGACTGCCAGATGCGAATCGAAATTCACAAACAGGACCAGAATCACCGAAATTGAAGGCAAATCTGCGTGGTTCACGGATCGGAGTATGGATGGACCCTGCAAAATTGGTCAATGTCAGGTTTTGACCACGACACCGTTGTCCTGAGCCCGCCATGGGGGGCGGCGTCTCGGGACTCTGCGCGCAAGAGCTGGGCCATGTCAATTGGCGCAGAGAGAAATCCCCTGCTCATTTTCAGGAACCAATGAGGGCTTTCACATGCTTTTATATCTTTATATAACATATATAACATTATACAACTACAAACATCTACAAACTATTATTCCCTGGCGTGCTCCCCCTTGCTGTCGGCCGGGGTCGGCGGATATTGTGGCTGGAAATGTTTGGGGGATGTAGACCTTGCCTCAATGGGATTGTGGACGCCGTTGCCCCCCAAAAAATTCGGGATTATAAACGGGATTATGAAACCATCACCGCGGTTAAACACAATATCTTGACATGGGTTTTAAGCACCAACGAGGGGGATCTGATCCAGACATGATAGTTGGTTGAGGCTTGTGCGCTACCGGTTTTACCAACACGATGCAACTCCTATGGCTATGCCAGCAATTGGCCTAGCTGACATGGTACCATCCTGGGATCGACGCTCGGTTGCCGGCATTGCTTGGAAGATGAGGTCAACATGGCACCTGTGCATGAGCTTTGCTTTCCGATGTATTTGATGAAGGCCGGAGTGGATCTTGCACCAACACACATGGAGATGGTAGATGTTGCGCAAAAATAAACCTGGGCGACCTAAACACAGATGATAGTTAGTAAGGGAAAAGAATCCACATACTTGCCTTAAATCTGACTTCTCTGACTTGGGAGATATCAAACTATCATACATTACTTTTTTTGCAGAACATGTAGCTTTGGTGGATTTTTGAGGGTTCCAGGTGGCCAGGCCACCGTTTTGTTTTTGGGGTTATCCCTGTCATTGGCGGGTTCACCAGCCAACTGGTGACGAGGTTACCATTGTCTGTTAGCTACAGCCACGACATGTTTGTACGCAGACTGGATATTAAAAAAAAAACACATGAACAAACAATTCTTACAGGATCATCCCACATTGTTTTGTTTTTTATGCTTCAAGGCATTCAATCCACATTTTTGTGGCACCCTCTTGCTACTCTTATCCTATACCCTTTGCATCCATTGGTAAGATAACAGTAATTTAACATAGCTACGGAAAATCACCATGATTAAAAGGCAAATAAAACCATAAGTGGGTCATGTTCCATAGATACATAATGATACATAGCAAATTACCAGATGCTATTCTCCATGTTTCATCCCACCTGTTCCCTGATCCCTTAATAAACCACACCTTTCCCCCTAGCCCCGGATGCCCAACCTGACCCCACCAGGTCAGCGATTTCCTGAAGTTGCCTCCGGGGCCAGTGGAAGCGCATGATCAGGTGAGATCTAAACTCCATGCCTGGAGACCAGGCGGGCGGCCCCTGGGAATTTGGTGTTTTATGATGCGAATCATGGGATTTCATTAAGCAAGAAACATGGGGATACATTGGGAGTAGGGAAAAAACTAACTAAGCGTTTAATCATTCTAGATTCTAGACCTTCTGCTGAGTTTGACAGTTTCCTATGATTTGTTCCGCCCGTTTTTTGGGAGGAAATCATCTCTGATTGGGGCAGTGTCCATAGCTAAAAATTAATAGCTATGTTAAATTTCCAGAGGGTAACCATTTCTTGTAATTGGGGTTGTCAAAAAAGAATGCTCCAAAATTGCGTATTAGTAGTGAATATGATGAAAGACCATCAACTTTGACTGTGCCCCATTTTGATGCAAATTCAGCTTGCTTATTTTTTGGGGGGGGTTCGGTGTGGGGGATGGGGCTTTGTTTATTGGACCAAGAGTTGAGAATTGGGTCAAGATTCACGGGCCTGCCAGACCCCCGAAATGCAAACCCTAAATGGTGAAATGTCTGTGGAAGCGAGACCCTACCCTTAGCTTATTGGGAGGGAAGCCCAGAAATGTGTTTGGAAGGTTATTTTAACATCCAAAAACTTGGACACGTCTAGGTGCCGTATTCGGTTTCAGGGGTTGGATTGGCAGAACTGGGCTCTTCGTCCAGTTCCCCAGGAATGTTCGTGATCTTTGTGTCTCATCAATGGCTTGGCACCGCTCATCCTGACACTCAGAGAACGGCGATCGGGGTATGACTGTGGCCAAAAACCTTGGTTGGGCAGTTCAATACTTCATACCCTCTGGTTATTTAACATAGCCATGGGAAATGGCCCATAGAAATAGATGGTTTACCTATTAAAAATGATGATTTTCCATGGCTATGTTAAATAACCAGGTGGTAATACTTCAATCTTCTACCATAGAATTTCATACATACCAGCCAACCAGCTGAAAAAAGCATTCGTTTTGGTGTACAACATTTTGCAAACTTCATCTGGTTGGTGGTTTCAAACATTAATTTAATTTTCCATTTCATATATGGGATGTCATCCTTCCCATTGACGAAGTCATATTTTTCAGAGGGGTAGGCTCAACCACCAACCAGTCATTATCGCCATTGACAACTGACATCGCCGAGGATCCACTTGGCGAGCAGATGTCAGTTTTGCGCGGCGCCCTGCGTGCCGCGGCTGTGAATGGATGCTGGTCCGGGACTAAAGTAGTTGCTACCATCCAGATATCCTATTATATAGGATCATTAAGGATGATGATGATGATGATGATGATGATGACTTGTTGGTGGTTTGGAAAAGTTTTTATTTTTCCATATTTATATATTGGGAATAATACTCCCATTTGACTAATATTTGTCAGAGGGGTTGAAACCACCAACCAGATAGGATTATATATAACCCCATGAAATCCCATTAAATCATCCATCCAGTACTGAATGCTCAATATATAATTATGAATAATTACTCAGAATTGGCAGCCAGTTGGATGATGGCAATGAAGGATGAATTGAATGCCAATGATTTACCAAAACCTATGGTTCCGCATGCAGCTGGAGCATCCTTTCCTATGATCCGATAGTCCATAGGGAATTGATACATCCATATGCCTTATCAAAAAGGAGCGTATGGCCCTCCGAACAAGAAACACGATATAGTAGTTGTTGCTGTTGATAGTTTCCGATGCTTTAAAAGGAAAAGCGAAGATTCTCACAGAAAACGCACTGACCAAACTTTCCCCAACCATTTCTCCATTTCACCTTCTGTCCGGGGGGGGGGGGAATCGCTAGAATTGAAAAGCAACAGAATTCATTCACTCAACCGTTGGTCCATGATGACCAGACCTGCAGATGATGCAGGTGGCATGATCGATGGATCGCAAAAAGTGGAAGCTTGCCTTTCGAGATGGTGCAACCCAAAATTCGGATGGTTTACTGAAGTTTACAGGGTCAACTTTGGATGGGTCGTTGAATATGTTGGAATGGGACGATTTACTCACCAGCGGATGCCAAAAAAAAATACGGACAAATACACACACACATATACGTATATATCTATATATATATAATATATATATATATAATATTTTTCTTTATTTTTTTTATTTATTTAAATATATATATATATATTTATATATATATATTTATATATATTTGTATTTATATATATATATATATTTATATATTTATATCGATAAAAACATGACAAGAATAGAATAGTGTAAGATAGCAGTAGAATAGCAGTGCACCTAAGATTGGCCAATATTGGCCACATTGGTGGTGGTGTTTACTCCCCTAAAGGTGTCTGTCCAGCCTTTCGTGACAGGGAGCGCCTAGATTTTCAAAGTGGGCGCCTTTACACTGTGCCAGCGCCCAAAGCTATAAGCCATCCCCAAGCTTACCATAAATGGGTAGTAAACATCCCCAAACGATAGGTCTATTTGCTGGTTTTCTCACTACGTATTTGTTTGCTTCGAATCTGATGATCGTATTGTGATTGGGCCAGTTTGAACATCCCGGCAACTCTTTGCCCCACTCACAACTTTACGGTTAGTAAACGGTTAGTAAGGGGGAATGATCCTAGTATAGCCTTAGTTCAGGTTAGTTCAGGTAATATGAAAACTAGTTCAGTTAAGGTTAGTTCATTATATTGGGGAATTATCCCAATACATCCCAACCATCCTCAGTAAGGGAACCAATGAATGTAATTTGCCCAGATGGTTCCCTTCTGCGGGTGGATCACTCAGGACGTGGATGTGATATCTGCAATCAAGGGCCAACCAGCTCTGAACTTTACCAACACAACACGCAACTTGCCGATTGGAAGCGATAGCTTCACCATGCTTCACCTCTTGAAACTCTCATGGATGGCCGAAAAAACTAGGTTTGGAAGAACATAAGAACATATTATCCTTTTGAATCGTAGCTTCCATGTCAGTCTTGTTCCATTACTTTGGTCATGGCTCCACTTGGCTGGGCCACCCGCTCCATGGGGCGACATGAGGCAGCAACACTTGTTTGGCCTTGAATCTCCACCAATGAGTCCATATTTTCTGGGAACCATGCCACCATACGCCACCTTCATCATATGTGTTTCTGGCACCAGGCGCCAGAAGCCCGTTTTGAAATTTATAAATGACTTACTGATGACATGCCTTGGGATGCCTCTCAAAGCGATCCCTGAGGATGTGAAGGTGCACTGAACATTGGATGATGAAGGATTCATTTGGCCACACCTTCTGGATGGATGTGTGTCCCCGAGTCACCGAGGCAAAAATGTAGCAGAAGGCTACCTTTTCTTGGACTGGTTTGCGATTCCGCAGGCGTCCCGCTTTGACCATGATGATACCATGATGTTATCCCAGCAACTGTTGCAAAGAAATGTCTCAGTGGCTGGTACGTGTTGGGATTGCTCAGCAAGACTAACAATCTTAGAATTAAAATGAATTAAGCATCCCATTTCTTCGAGGCGCTCTTCTTTCCTATACTTTTTGGGTTTTAATAGAATAGACACGTATTTCCACAAAAAGTGGAAAATGCTGTCCAAGAGTGTTTTCGCTTGCCCTCTAGCAACCCAATGTGTATGAAAATCTACCATGAATCTATATAGATCATTATCCTAGGGTTTCCATTTAGGTTTTCTATATCTATGTTACCTATACCTTACCTCATCAAGTCCTAATCCATATTTATTGCTGGCTAAAACATCTTAAACCCCACTGTTTGTTGATGAACATCCCACCATTCTCCGTCGCGTGCCAGGTGACCAGTCGCCAAGAGGGCGTGAACGAGGCCGGAGAAACCATGAAATTCGTCGCGTTAGTCCTTGGTCAAGGACTAAGGGACATTAGATGGATATGTAAGTAGTAATAAATAATATATAAATGATATATATATATATACAGTCAGTATACACATAGAATTTCATACGAATTATGTATAATGTACATAGATTAGGCATGTAACCTTTAGATTTCAAGGTTATCTCCTAGCCAGTGCATTTTTCATCAAGGTCGGCGACCCGTAGTCTTTAGTCTCCGCTCTGCTGTGGAAGGACAGCACTCGTTCGAAAGCGGCCTTAGCAGTGCACAGCATCCCAGCATATGTGGCTCGGCGGGGCTTCCAGGAAGTACAACTGGATGAAAACTTTGGTTATGTATAATGTGACATATATATATAATTATGTACATGTAGATGTAGATGATGATGATGATGATGATGATGATGATGACGATGACGATGGTGATGATGATGATGACGATGATGATGATGATGATGGTGATGGTGGTGATGGTGATGGTGGTGATGGTGATGGTGATGGTGATGGTGATGGTGATCGTGGTGGTGATGGTGATGGTGGTGGTGATGGTGATGGTGATGATGATGCTGATGGTGATGATGATGATGATGGTGGTGGTGGTGGTGGTGGTGACGCTGATGCTGATGGTGATGGTGGTGATGGTGATGGTGATGGTGATGATGATGATGATGATGGTGATGGTGGTGATGGTGATGGTGATGGTGATGGTGATGGTGATTGTGATGGTGGTGATGGTGATGGTGATGGTGATGGTGATGGTGGTGATGGTGATGGTGATGATGATGCTGATGATGATGATGGTGGTGGTGGTGGTGATGGCGATGGTGATGGTGATGGTTATGATGACGATGGTGATGATGATGATGATGGTGGTGATGATGATGATGATGGTGACGGTGGTGATGGTGGTGGTGGTGATGGCGATGGTGATGGTGATGGTTATGATGACGATGACGATGACTATGACGATGACGATGGTGATGATGATGATGATGGTGGTGATGATGATGATGATGGTGACGGTGGTGATGGTGATGGTGGTGATGGTGATGGTGATGGTGATGGTGGTGATGGTGATGGTGATGATGATGCTGATGATGATGATGATGGTGGTGGTGGTGGTGGTGGTGATGGCGATGGTGATGGTGATGGTGATGGTTATGATGACGATGACGATGACGATGACGATGACGATGGTGATGATGATGATGATGGTGGTGATGATGATGATGATGGTGACGGTGGTGATGGTGGTGGTGGTGGTGATGGCGATGGTGATGGTGATGGTGATGGTTATGATGACGATGACGATGACGATGACGATGACTATGGCGATGACGATGGTGATGATGATGATGGTGGTGATGATGATGATGATGATGATGATGCTGGTGGTGGTGGTGATGGTGATGGTGATGGTGATGCTGATGGTGATGGTGACGGTGATGGTGGTGGTGGTGATGGTGATGATGATGCTGATGATGATGATGATGGTGGTGGTGGTGGTGGTGATGGCGATGGTGATGGTGATGGTGATGGTTATGATGACGATAACGATGACGATGACTATGACGATGACGATGGTGGTGATGATGATGATGGTGGTGGTGATGATGATGATGATGGTGACGGTGGTGATGGTGGTGGTGGTGATGGCGATGGTGATGGTGATGGTGATGGTTATGATGACGATGACGATGACTATGACGATGACGATGGTGATGATGATGATGGTGGTGATGATGATGATGATGGTGACGGTGGTGATGGTGGTGGTGGTGATGGTGATGGTGATGGTGATGGTGGTGATGGTGATGGTGATGCTGATGCTGATGGTGATGATTTATGGTTTACTGTGATTTAAGATTTGAATTAAGGACTATTAAATTGGTCATCAAACATGGCAATGGAAAATCCCCTGTTTATAGGTGATTTCCCATTGAGACCTCCAGGGAATTTTCCTGGCAATGTCCTGGACTCCCAATGCTTGGTTGATTGATAGAGGAGATATAGATGAGTTTCCCAAAATAACAATCAGCAGGCAAATGATAATAGATGGCATACCGTACTGTATATCAAACCGACATTAGTGTTTTTTTTTGGTATAGCTCAATTACATAACAAATTAAATTATTGAGCCACTATTGTGAGAATACTGATGGGACTTATGTGGATAATTCTGGGCATCCCATGATTGAACCAACAAATTTTCTGGATGTTGTTTTCCTCGGGAAATCTATGTCGTAGCACTTGGGCATAATGTGATCCATATGGGATATGCACTGGGGATACTGTATGAGATGATACTTCAACCAACTGGATATGATATTTGTGTCTGAAAATGGAGGGAATGAACCCCCAATATCTTGTCATTTCAAGAGGGAAAGTGACGACTAAGTATCAAATTTGTTCTTTTTTCAGTCACCTCAGTCATTGGGCCCTCTTTGGCCAGTATCATAGCCAACCAGGAAGAAACGAGCTGAAGGGATATCGAAGGTGAGCTATGGCCTATGGGATGTCGTGTTGTCACATCGGTGCTTGGCTGAAATCGTGCGACTCCCACTGAGGTGGAGATGTGCAACGTCTTCATCGCATTGGTGCCTGAGTTGCGTCACACGGCCACCAAAAACGCTTGCAGCTTGGCGCAGCAGCCACAGATATGGCTCTGACTCGTCACACGTGAAGGTTCGAACTGTCTTTGATCATACATTGTCATTTCTTTCTGTTCTACTATTCTTTATATAATGCATTCCTTTCCATGTTATCTTTTGTAGTTGTAATCTACGTTTCGCTACCCAACCCCAGCCCAATGCATGGTGAGTGTGTACTGTTTCTGTGTGCAAACATGAACGTTATTGGCACCCCACCCCAACCCCACCCCAGACCTGAGTGTACAGATTGTCAATTTTGAGTGACTTTGAGTGTGCAGATGAGTCAAACATGGAGTGAAAAGTGAGTGCACAGATGATGAGTTCCTGACCGATATGGGAACTGGGCAAAACCCTGCTCTGGAAGTGGTGTTTTTATCATGTTTTATTTTGTTTTGTTGAAACCACTTCCCTTGTTATTAACCTCATGGCAAGACCTACTAAGAAATATTTGCTTCACAGATCACGTGCATCTAGACAACCAATGCCAGCAACATAAATCGACTCAAACTCCAACTCCAAAATTGACCAATGATATTTCAAGAATTTTATGTGCTTATTAGCACAGTCCTCTTTCTTGTTTCTTTCAGTTACCTTTTCTCTCAGCCACTGCTTCGTTGAGCTACCGCTCCTCTGAGCTATCTATCGCCTCGACGGTATCTTCTTTGTGTTGTCTTTTCTTTGAGGGTTGCATAGGGTTGCTGTCCAGCTTTCCTCTCTTCCTTTTCGGGGAGCGTCTCTCTCCCCAGTTTCCCTTCTTGATGGAAGGTAAAACCATAGTGCACCACCTGTGGCCAGTTTTTGAATCTATGCTATTCAGGGCTTTTGTGGCCGAGTTGTTGTGTTTTTGCATGAGTGGATGCAGATGCCGTCTTGCAAGAGAGTTCAGAAATTGCAGTGACCAATGCCGTGTGAATGCCTTGGATGCAGATGAAATCGGCTACCACTATCAGCGGGCCGGGACAGCACAAAACGCTTTTTCATTTTGCTCCATGCGATAACCAAGGGTTTTGTTAGTGAGTTGTCTCAGGAGCTATGCAATGATATCCGGTGAAGTAGCGGGATGACCTGGAATCAATGTGAAATAGCAGTTGGTTGGCGAGGTGCTGACATCATTGGGATTTTGATTTTTCAGATGCGACCACCGGACCTGTCTGAAGGTAATTACGCATCGTGGCTGTCGAGAGGGTGGTGCCGGGCGGAGCTGTGGTGTCATTTGCTTTCAAACAAGGCTCTTGGATCTTGGGGCGGTCAATAGGTGACCGAACGCTCGATGTGTGCTGCACAAAGATTGCGATCCATGTCAGCCAGAACTAGTAACTAGAGCAAGGAGAAAAAACACGGCAATAACCACAACCACAACACCAGCAGTACCACCATTGCTGCCGCCGCCAGCTTCAGCAACAGCAACAGCAACAACAACAACAACAACAAAAACAACAACAAAAACAACAACAAAAAGAAAAACAAAAACAGCAACAACAAGAACAAACAAAACAAAGTCTTCTACGGTTGTCATTATTATTTGTCCATGTGTTTTCGTCATATAATAGGTAGTTGGTTTATTATTTACTAATTAGACCACATGTTCGTTATTTCGTCATTGTCCATTATTGGTAGTCAAATCCGTAGTTGTGATTGTTGGCTGCAGGCTGACACAAGCGTGATCTTGGTCCACTCTTGCAAGGAGGCGCGGTTTTTGGATCCAGAAACTTCGAAGAATTTCCAGATCCATTGGGGTCTTCATTACCCTCCAACCTTCTGATAGATTCAATAGATCTGATAGTATCCAGTACTCAGTAGTAAATGCTGATTGTTTATATATTGATGTTTTTTCAAGTCCGTTGTTTTGGGTCGGTTGTTTTTTTTTGGGGGTCATCACCAACCAACTGTAATGAGGGCAACATAAACAGCAAAAGAGAGACATCACAATCATTAACCATCAAGCAGAGAAAACGGGCAAGTTTGATGATAAATAATACATGCATGCATGCATGCATGCATGCATGCATCCATACATACCTACCTACGTACGTACATACATACATACATACATAATGTGCATGTTTAATAATTAATGTATAGTGCTAAATAGGTATCGAACATAGTTCAATGAGTGGAATGTGGTGTCATAACCAGCTTTCCGGGAACATGTCCGTTTTCCTTGCAACGTCGCGCAGGCTGAATTTATGTTTCCTTTGGACTGGCAGTGACTGGGAACATGAAATGCTGACGGTATTGGGCCGGATTTCAATCATGGGAGTTGTCGGCACATAGTTGTCGCAAAGATTTTGTGTATAAAAATGTGACACATGAACAACAAAATCGGCCGTGTTATGGGTTTGTGGAAAGGGTCAAGGTGGATGCATCCATTCGTTATGTTCAAGTCGGGTATGACGTTAGTTTCAATATATGTTCAATTCGTATTGGTAAGTCGATCCTCTTGCCCTCATGATTCCGATGAATTCGGATACATTGAAGGTGCATTGATGTTTGAATCAGTATGATCTTCATGTTGTGGACAAGCCAAATACGAATAATCCCATCATACACAGCATAGAAAAATCATGGAAAATCAAATTCCATGGGTTTCCCTCGCAACTTTCTGGCCGATCCTCAATTGTTGACGATTAGTTTGTCATTTTGATGTTTAAACCGAGTTTTCCTATATTTTCCCTAATTTTATTTTCGCTGGGTACTGGGTGACCCACCTGGGGATTCCCAAGCTGCCGTGGCCACCAGGGACAACTGTGTCGCCACGGGCGCCTTTACTGTCGAAGCCGACCGGGAAGTGGTGACCAACTTGGCTCAGATGGCCGTAGATAGTGCCCTGTCGCGGAGGAGATGGTTCTGGGGTGTTCTGGGTCAGTTTTGGATGGATCTCTGCCTAAGGAAATTGACCCAGAACCATCCAAAATGTCATAGCTATGAATTAATGATAGTTTCCCTCGGGCAAACTAACATAGCTATGGAAAATCACAATTTTTTGTAGGTAAAACATAGAACTAAATGATCTAAATGGACCCGTTTCATCCAGTTTCCATAGACGTGTTTGAGTTTTCTGGATGGTAAAAAATACCAAGGCAAAATCGATCGAAACTAGTTTTATTTTAATACTTGTCAATCTTGGATTGGGCTAAACATAACGACAATGCATATAACATTTTTGTTGGCGGATTCTACACCAAAAATCTGAATGCGAGAATCCATTCTCCTGAATCTTAAACACCTTGCATAAACATATGTTAGACCATCTAGGGCTGTTTAATGTTTACTGTAAATCTGTGAAGATGGCCATGTTTTGGATCATCCAATCCCAAAACGGGTGCTGTCCAAGGCAAAATTGAGTACCTCGCTGCTTTAGGACAGGGCCGCTTCACATGCTACATGTGACGGTTATGATCAAGAAACCCATGACTATATGACTATATGTGACTATATTATGGTATTCGAGGCCATCATGTTCATCATGTTCATCATGTTCATCATATTCATCATAGTTCGTCATCGGCATCGTCATCGTCGTCCTCCTCCTCCTCATCATCATCATTCTCATCATGATCATAATATTCAAAGTGCTAGTCATATTTCTTGATCATTTCCAGAGTTGGCATCCATTATCAAGACGTCAATTGCCTTACTCCAGATAAACCCCTGCCCCACGTGGGTGTTTCATCCCTAAAGGTGGGTGGGACTGCACCGTGACTTCGAGCAATACCGTTCACTACAATCATGACGATTTTGGAACTCTCATGGCTATCATTATTTATTTTCTAGTATTTCTGGCATGCATTAAATATATATTATATAAACAATTATACACACATAATTTACACAATTAGCTGGTTTAGTCCTCGTAACTTGGATCTATTTGTTTTCCTGTTTTGATTTGGAGACAGCTTCCCCAAGCACTGGAGGAGCTTCATCTCCGAGCCACTTGGTGCTCTACCGCTTCTACTTGGCCTATCGACATCGGATGTTACCTGGTCGAAAGAGAGACAGAAATGACGGTTTCTTAGAATGGAGGATCCCCAAAACCATCCAAAACCATAGGTTTCAATATTAAAATGGTCGTCTATTGACTTGGATGATTTGAGGGTACCCCCATTTTAATAAACCTTCAAATGGCGATTTTTGGGCGACAATAAAGGGCGATTTTAACCATCGAACATGGGGATTTTATGACGGTTAAACGGAAATTAATGATTAATGGAAAGATTTTGGGGGGTTAACACCCGTTTGGATATGTTTGGATGCAATATTAGGTGATTTCTTAATATGGTGGACGGTGGAATATGCAAAATATTATGTATTATTTCTGCATAGATTTATTGCCCGGGGTACGGATCAACAGCGTAGTTTTGCCTTTAATGCGCATTGATTTGCCTCATTCCACATGTTTGAGGACGTCTACATCCCAATGAGGAGGGAAATTCCATAATGGACTGTGACTTGAGAAGCGGCCTCTATTTTCTGCCATGTGTAAGGGCGGGCCCCTGGCCGTCACCTGACCCCTTTCCCAGAAGTGCCCCATAAATGCCCATAAACTTCAAATAATAGAACGAATAGAAGGTTTCTTCTTGATGTGCTGTGGAAAGCTTTTGGAAATGCGTCTTTTGAAGATGTTAGTACTTGCGCACATTTTCAGACATGTCCATGTGGTTCTTTTAACTCGTGCAGGGTTTGACCTGGGCAGCTGTTTTTTTCCTGGATGCGCAGGTTGGGACAAGAGCCTGTGGCCTTGGATTTGTACAACTTTTTGTGCCTTGACCCGGCGCATGGCAATCTGGCAATCGTTTTTGGGCCGGAAAATGCCTATGGATGCTTATGGGTAGATATGGGTAGATGATTCACCCAATGAAGGTGCAGTTTTTCCCATTTCCAGGATTCTAGATTGGACTACCTGAGGGTATAGATTTATGTTCGGTTGGCCAAGGGATATGCCTCCACGAATGATTACTGCCGCTACTGCCATGATGTGCCTGCCGAAGTGCTGAGAGAAAAGTATGCACAGAACTGACGTGCAATGATCTATATTGACAAATTAGTATTCCTTTCATTTTCCTGTGCTGGACAAGCAGGTAGGAATAAGACGTTCTAAACATATTCCAAGACTTGTTTCTTATTTGAAAGAGTTGTATATTGTTCCGCTTGTTCTGGAATTTGTCAGGCTTAAAAGGATCTATATTTGCGCTCCAGGGTTAGGGTTCAGAGGTCGGTTTTATACTTTTTGACCGTTTGCTCTCATTGTTTAATGTGGTGAAGCCCAAAAAATATACCTATGCAACCATAGTTGCACAATCGTACCACTGGCCGTTTGGGTTGACCATTAGCTTTGCCAGAATCGCTCGAGACGCCACTAGGCGGTGCTTCAGATTCGGAACCTTTCAGCAGGCTGTGCAAGAAAGCAGCTACATGAAGCTTGACGACTTAAGGTACCAGTTGCCAAGGGGGCTCCTAAATTTCAATACACCCTAATGTAGTAACCCAATATAACCCAATAAAGAACTATGGCCCCACTAGAGGTTTCTGATGATTTTTGTTTATTGGGTTTACCACATTACAGTATGTACCAAACGAAGCAGTGAGTGGTAGGACCACCGAACGTGGTGATATACCAGTCACCACTGAGGTTTCTAAGGAGCCAAGTCATCCAGCTGGTAGTTGCTCTGCTCTTTTTGGAGTTGTAACCCTATTGTAAAGAGACTGAAAAAAGTGATTTGGCCATATAAATATAAACCATATTGTAGTATAATTTTCATAGTCCCTGTGCACCATATACCATACTAAAGGACTGTTTTGAATGCTCTTAGTTTCAACTGAAGCGTGATTTTGGCCGCAAGTATGCAGACAACAAGGGATGGGGGGCTCAACAAAAAAATTGAACATCGAACAGCAGATCTTCGCCCCAGAGATGGTGGTGAAAAATATGTCATGCTAAGGCTACAATCATATCCTCTTCAGATTGCATTTTGAGGCAAATACCATGGTTTTCGAACGTGCTTGGAACCCCCAATCATTTAACCCCTTCCCCGTCATGATAAACAACCCCGCCCGAAGCCATGCTTAAGTAGAGGATTTACATATTTGGGACCAAAAAAAAGGGGTTGTTTAAGATCAGAGGGATGTGATTACTGGAACCCAATCGGGATCGCGTTTGAAGGATCACTAGACTATACGTATGGGTTTGGTTGAAAAATAGGCTGCCCCAGGCATTCAATCCACTGGTGAATCATCATGATCCCTATTGAATGGCCATAGAAGGAACGGACTGCTGTGTGCCCTCTTTGCTGAAGATGTGTAACTTGGTGCCAGGTATGGTGGGGCCATGACTAGGTAAAGCTTGGTGGATTGGGGGTTAATGCAATCACCAACACAAGCTTTATGTATATTATATGTACATCTCTATCATCTATCAATACTCATATATATATATATATACGTGCTTATATGTTGATATATTATTTAGTTATTAGTTATTTATATGTCATGATCTGGATCAACCTTGAGTTGGTAGTGGGACTACTTGTATCCTTTGACATTGAAAGAAAGCCGTACTTTTCTTAGTAGCTGGATGCAGCTGGAAAATTCCGGAGATCTGAAATCAGCTGTGGGTGGATGCAAAGGGGTCAAGGACCTTGACCGCGACCTGTTTGGTTCGCTCAATGGTCGGATTCAAGTCTTGTCATGTTACCCTTTGGCAACTTCCCTCACATAGCTATATAAGATGAATTAAAATGACCCATGTGTAGATTATTTATTTACTGTAGGTGATTTCCATAGCTAGGTTAAATTACCAGAAGATTCCAGAAGGTTTGAGATGAGCCAAGGAGCAATAGCAAAATGCTGGCTAAATGGGGAGCGCAAGAGCCCAGCGACCCTCAAACTCACTGGGACCACCAATTCATGGATAGATCCAAGACTAAATCAGGGTTTTCGAGTGGGCATGCTTTGGGGTGATGGGATTATAATACGCAATATTCTAAATATATGTATGTATGTATATATATATGTCATTATATATATATGTGTGTGTGCGTGTGTCATTGTATATATACATATATGTCATTGTATATATATATGTCATTGAAAGTCAATTGAAAATCAATTGAAATCAACTGAAAATTAATTGAAATCAACCGATCCATATTATGCAGTACCCCGATCATACAAAAAAAAACACCCTAAAGTGGATCCAACAATTGTTTGGGGGGGCCGACACTAATCAGGATCCGACATTATATACATCTCTCTCTCTCTCTTTCTCTCCCTCTTTCTATATCCACACGGATCTCTGTACATCCCATCAAATCCAAATGGAATCCCTCTCCTTTGTATATCCTCATTACCCTCTGGTAAACTAACAGTTTGCTATTGAACATGGCCATTGATTTCGTGAGTTTTCCCATGAAAATGGTGGATCTTTCCATATAAAATCACCATTTTCCCATGGTTTTCCCATGGTTTTCCCATGGTTTTCCCATGAAAAATGGTGGATTTTCCCATCGTTCTGGGGCCCATCCCTGCCATCCGAGGCAAATGTTACGCCTGCTGCTGAAATACAAAGCGGACGTCAACTCCCGTGGCTCGGAATGGGGATTCGCTACGCTACCGTGGGTAGGATCTGGTGAGGAAAATGTGCAGAATATTAGTGTTGATATTAAGATCGTGGATAATATTAGTGGTTAATAGTGGCTAATAGTGGTTAATTGTGCAGGAATCTGGTGAGAATATTAGTGTTACCCTCTGGTAATTGAATAAAACCATGGTAAAACCATCCAAAACCATCCAAAACCCTGGTACTAGTGGTTAAACACCTATTAATAATGGGATAATCTATATTAATAGTGGTTAATAGTGGTTAATAGTGGTTAATCATGATAATCAATAATGAACTGGCTATGGATCAATACCTATGAAAATACCATTTTTTAGGGGGATGAACATCCATGAATCCCAGCTATTTTGATGTGAACAGAAGGGGTACAAGGTTTTGACACACTGGCATATGGGGATGAAAAAAGTGGGGATATATTGGGGATATGATGGGATATTACTATTAGTAAGTATCCCATAAGATATACCATTTAGCCTCTGGTAATTTAACAGTTTGCTATGGAAAACCCACCATTTTTGATGGGTAGATCAACGAACTACATGGCAATTTTCAATAGCAAACTGTTAGTTTACCAGAGGGTATCTTGAGCAATATGTCAACCAATACATAGGGACATAACCAGCAATGAAAGAAGCATTTGATGAACGTTGATATTCATGATATTTGGGGGAAACCACCTGGTGAGGGGGGTAGATATTATCCAAAGTATCTAAGATTGGCTACGTGTTGGCGGTTCAAAAGTGTTTGTTATTCTCCTTGTTATTTGGGAAGACCCAAATTATCACAATTTGTTCTATGTTTTTCACTCTGGTTTAATCCACCGGTTACTGCTTCAAGGTTGGTTGGGGAATGATATTCTGCAGGAAGGTTCCTGTCAGCTGCCAAAGTGACAAGCCAGCACACGGACACGGAATGACCGAATGACACGGATCACGGACTTTCCGAAAGTAGAAATAAATAGGGTGTCCTTTGACAATCAAATGGGATTCCAGTGATTATAACAAAATTGATCCCATTATTCTTTATTAAATGGCAATTTGTTCCTATAACAATGGAATCAATGGAGCATTCTTAATGGGAGAATCATCGAAGTCGGGGTGTCCCTTGACCTTGGCTCCTGGAAAAAGACCATGGCTAGGTGAAAATGATTCGTCTTCCAGCCTGTTTGGCAGGGTCTATTTGTTAATTTACTGGGTACCATTGACATTGCAAGTTGGTGGATTTTTTGGGGCCAGTCCATTTGGGAGGTTTGTATGGCTTGACGCCCCTGGGATATTTTGATTCGCAGACCTTGCTGATGGCAGAAGCTGGCGAAAAGAGTTGACCAAACGAGGAATGAGGAATGAAGGGCATGGAGGGATACGAAATTCATAGGAATTATCATTATCCCTTGGCGATCAAACATGTCAATTGAGCATCCTATAACAATGAGTTCTATAAAGGACTGATTTTCCATTGCCATGTTTATTAGCGGAAGGTATGATTTCTAGATATTTCTGGTGGCAAGCCATCCAACGATGGTCGCAAAAGAGAAAACATGTTTCCGCACTTTTTGTGATTTTGCGAGAACCATCGAGAGCCCTAGTTTTTCATGAGAAGGTTGGGAAGCAATCATCTCCTACAACATGTTGTTTTTTTGGCAATGGCAATGACAGTATTTTTGAAACAGATCATGAAAATTATATATATATATATTATAAGCTCTAAGCTGAATATTGAGTATGTATGAGCATGTCATGTCTAGCAAACACTTCCAAGAAATTAGAGATCACAGCGTCATTGCAAGCACCCTCCAAATCAGCAGTCGCAGGCTTTGAAATCCAATCAGAGCATCGCAGTGGTGAAAACTCTCCTGGACCATCGGGCTGAGCCCAACCTGGGCGGCTACGAAGGACGAAACTTGGAAGTTGTGGCGTGAGCGGCGCGAGGATGGAAAAGGGGTGGAAAAACATTGGGGCCTTTTGCTTCCCGTCCTGGATATGCCTGTGATCCTGGACCCCCCTTTGTACCTGTGCGGTGTTGAGAGACTCAGTGTTCATATTGTTCATCATTCATTTGTTGGTCTTGCCAAATGACTCCTTTTCTTCGTTGTTTTGTGCATGGGTGCTGCCCAAAATCCATCAAAATCCCGCTTTCCAAAAGTCAAAATCCAGCAGGAGAGAGCCCGGCGTTTCTGGCGCGTTCGCCCTTACACATCAAGCTGTTGATGGAAGCCAAAGCAGATTTGAACGCCGGAGGTCGCTGGGGGGAATCCATGGGAATCCAGGAGACGATGAATATCAAGAAATACCATGAAATAATACCAGTATGTTTGTGACTGACATTATATATGGTGATGCAAGCAGCATAAGGGCATCAAACCCAGCCAAAACAACTATAAACAACAATTGTACCTAAGGTAAGGGATGGTAAGGGATGTATATATATATAACATTATATAACCCCAAAAACTCACCAACATTTCAGCAATTCGTAGATGGCTTACTGTAGTGCTGTGTCCGTGCTTCCCTAGCCGCCCGCTTCCTCTGAATAGCCCTGCTATCATTGGTATCCAAACTCGGGAGGTTTGAAATCGATGTTTCGGGATGGAGGCCGACTAGAAGAAGACTACCATAGACATGTTTGGCGTATGCAATCTGACCACGCAATCATCTACAAATGGCAGATTTTCCTTAAAAAAGCGGGCATTTTTTTGAAGACCCGTTTAGGATCAGCGAAGACAACGAGGACCATGTCCCCATGGTCCGTGCAGCACGCAGAACGCTGATCCTGTAGCTATTGATACTTCGCCCAGGCAATGATGAAAGTAGCCAAACATATCCAAATATTCACGCAACCAAGACAGGGAAAAATTGCTTGAGGCTAGTTGAACAAACCAATCGCTCAACACCCATCATCACCCATCTAAGGAACTCTTTACGCACACTCGGATATGTGAATGTTTTGTTCATACAAATTGAGTCAAATATACAACAGAAGAGTTGCTTCCTTTGATTCATGCTGAGTTTTCATGTATAGTTAGTTTGACGGTTCATATTTCCAGCCCAGTTACATACCCAGACTACAGCACTAGCCCAATATTGGCGGGAAATCGACAACTTAGGCGGCAGTAATGGTCTCACTCCTCTCATCGGCGTGACCTGGGCGAGTTGAAATATTGGGAAGTTGTTTGGTGGTATCATCCAAACTGGGGTTAACATGGGGATTTCAGCAGCACCAACAGTTTAATGTTGTTTGGTTGTGGGAGATATGATGGAGAGCATGTATATATATATGTATATATGCACATAGCATAAACATTGGAACAATGTATTTATATATTATATGTATATACATATCATGGTATGGCATCTATACATACATACATACATACATACATACATACATACATACATACATACATACATACATACATACATACATACATACATATACATGTGCAAAGCATGTGTATATGTATATATATGTATATGTATGTATATGTAAACACACACACACATATATATATATATACATATAGAGAGAGAGAAAAAAAACAATAATAATAATCAAATATACATATATATTCCAATATATGGCCATCGTTATTGGGAACATGATGACAAAGCATCAAATTTGGAGGGGAACATATTTTGATAAAAGCCCATACCGTCCAAAACTGAAAGGGACATTTAAAAACCTTTGGTATACTTTTTTGGGTATGTCATATAATGGCAATGGAGACCGTAAAGATGCAGGATCATTGATCATAAAAATGTACATATCATCCAAAAACTGTGAGATCCAAAAAAGTTGATAACTGGAAAGGTCTGAGAAAATCAAGATAAGAAAAAAATGCAGATGTTCTGGAACAAATGCGTTTTCCAAAAACGGAAGGACAGAAAGGCTTGGAACTGTCATTCTGCGGATTACTTGGGCGGCTTGGGGAGAATGCCCACCGTTACTATCAGGGAGGGTGTTCCCAGTCAACCCAAGCAGTAGACCATCATATTTTCGGCATTCAACGAACATCTTGAAACAGTTTGCATTGTATGCAATAAAGATGAGAGCGAGTTTGCCAGGTTGGACAATGCTGCAGAAAAAAGGAGGTTGTGAGAGGTGGCGCCACCATTAATTAGGTTATTATATATATATATATATCTTATAAACCCAAAGTTTCCAGTTTCGAGTGATTTGCAGCAACTTAGTGAACGACCTGGGGCACCAGCTCCAAGTTAGTGAGGTTGCTTCCTATGCGGATTCGCCCACACTCTCTACGATGTTGGCCGCCCGCTGTGATCCAAATCCACCCCTTAGCGGCTTTGGCTTCTCGCCACTGCATGGCGCTGTGCTGTTCTCCCGGCGGAATAGGCGAGCTGTGCAGATTGGAAACCAGGAGTGGTGGAGTGGCACACCTTTCTATGTTGAGAATATAACATAATATAACATAATATACATGAGTGTGTAGATAGACACCATGCAATATAAGTCATTGTTATTTTGTTTGTGTATATATATATATATACACAGTATGTATATGTGTGTCTATGTATGTTTATGTGCGTGGTCATTTTAGAGTGGGGGATATCGGATATCATGTGAAGTTGTAAGTTGCGATTTGGAAATTGTTGGCCCTATGTATTGGTAGTGGAAGGTCTCGGATTTCGCATTTTGGGACGTTACCTTGCTGAATCTAGAGGAGCATTTGGTTATGTACCATTGATGTACCTACATGTGTTAGACTCGAGACACTTTACATTAAAACTCAAACATGGACATGCCTGAGAAATCAATGAGAAAAACATCATTCAATTTAATTAAACGGTTTTTTTCAGGCTTCATTTTGGTGTTTGTAGTTTTGGGGCTTGGTTGGTCAACTCATTTGATCTTAGGCAGAAATGGAAGAGTATCCCTGAAAAGACTTGGCTGAAAGGTATTGAACAAATAGGAACAAGTCTCGCCATGCAATTGAGCACTGACCGGACGAAGAATTAAAGAATGATGCAAATCTACGGTAATCTACGTGCAAACGGACCGCCATATATCTATCAATACATTTGCGAGCTGAGACATGCAGATTTTGATCCGCATGGCGCTCTGCAATGCCTGACCCTCTGGTGGTTGATGGTTAAGTCTGGGAGCCCCATAGTCACTTTTCCTGTAGGTGATCGGTAGAACGAGCCCTTAAACACCATTAACTTAATGACCATTAACGATCAAACTGCTAAATTATCATTCAAGGCTATGTTCAATTTCTAAAGGGGTCACTAAATAACTAATTCAAAATATGTTATCCAATTATCATTCAATTCAATCGAATGTTAGTCAATTCTGTTCCTTTCTTGAATGATCATCAAGGTGCTGGGTCTAGACCCATACCCACACAGGCACGCGCTCCTCTCAGCACAAATGCTGCTCAAGCAGCGTGCAGATGTCAACTGCCGAGCACGACCACAAGGCTCGACATTTGCACGTTGCTTTGGGCTGACATGTGGCGAGGTGTGCTTGAGCTGGACCACTGGGTATTTTTGAGCATTTTTGAAGGAGGATGGCTGCTACTAGTATGCCATAGTATGCTACAAATATGGCGGCGCTACATATATATATACATATGAACATAGGGGCTTAGTACATTTTATGTAGTTGCGCGTTTTTGGGAGCTAGACCAATGCATCGATTATGTGTTGATCTTTTTGGAAGGGGAAATGCACAAGTACACTTTCTGTTGAACAAGTTTGCACGCGTATTTTTGGATGTCTGTGACAATATATTGTTTTGAAGGGATGATACGGAACAATTACAGTAGTTTCGAGCCCAATGAATAAGTATATCAAATAAAATATTTAAAGCCCTTAAGTTTGATTACTTCTAGTATGTAAGACCAAGAATCACTATACATATAGAATAATATATAGTAATAATCCATGAGCTATGATTTGAATTGATGCATGATCCGTTGAAAACAGGAAAACACAGCACATCCAGATGTTCAACATTAAACATCATTGAACCATCAAAGTGCCTAACATGACCATATGCTTAAAACAACATAAACCATCTAGGCCCCACGACCAATAGCATATCAGACAGGAAGATGGGCCTTGGTGTGCCACGCTGCCCGCGCTCACTGTGCCACTCAGCAGTCTTTAGATGTGCCTCAACCATTAGGCGATGCATAAATCAATGGATTGGTTTAAGGGAAAATCTACAGGAAAGCCCCATATTTAATGGGAAAATCTATGGTTTCCTGTAAATTTTCCCTTAAACCAATCCAATCAATAAAAGATGACAACCAACTGCACAATATTGATTTGTCTGACTTGCGGGAAGCCTGTAAAATTCTCCGGTGAATCATCAGATATCATCATGTTCCCCTTTTAACATTTCCATAGCTTGGCAGTATATACAAGATTCAATTTTCATACGCAACCATTTTTGATAGGCTCATTCATGCAAATTCAACGAACCAAAATATAGTGTTTTGCATTTGTGAATTTGTTCATCAGTATGCTAAAGCCTTGCTTGATGTGTACGATTTACTCGTAGCTGCCACATTGCTCTCCAGCGTTGTTGGATGGTTTGTCAAGTTGGCATATGAACCCTCTAAGCGAGATCTACAAGTGATAGATTTGGGGTTGCCTGAAAATATGTACGGGTACCCTACAAATTCGACGGTTTAGTATGATTTTCCGTTTTAAACTTGCCATTTGGGTGGCTAAATACGCGTCCCAAAATCTGTGGGAGTGACTTTCCACTCCGGTCAACCGGACCTGGCGTGGCTCGAGATGGTTGAGCCCCTAAGTTCTGATGAAACGACATGATTTCATGGTCTGGTTTTCATGGCGAACATTTTGTCCATGACAGTTTTTGTAGCTGAACTTTCGTTGATTATATATGTTTTGGTTTAATGTTTATTATATGCGTATATACGTATATATATATATGCACATAATTAAATGTATATATATATATTATGTTTATAGATGTATTGAGATACATATATATATATATGTCTGTGTGGATCTATCCATCCATCTATCAACATACCTATATGTGTATACTGATACTTGTGTGTATGGCTCTTCGCATTTATATGAACACATAGCAAGCAACACCCAAAAAAAGGAAGAGGTTGCTAGGATGGTGGATGGTGTCATTCATGGCTTTCACATATTTTTTTCAGATTTTAAGTAGGTTGCTATATGGCTGTGTCTGAAAATGGGGCATATCCTCCAAATGGATCCATTCATGGCCATTTCAATGGGGAAATGCTGATTTACTGATGGATTTAGAGGTACTCGTACCAAACTTTGAGATAGCCCCGATTTTTTTGGTTACAATTCGCGCAATGTGTTCCCAATATTTTCCGGGTTTCCAACGTTTCTATCTTTTCGGGTTTGCTATATATCTAACCTTGCCGCTTCGCGCAGGCTTTGATGGGTTTTAATTGCAGCTCCATGATCACTCGAAGCCTGGCTTTGCCGGGGAAACCTTGGGGCATGGATCATTGAATGCCTACCACCATCTTTTATTGGAGGACATTGATCAATAATCAACAACAATAAGATGCAGAAAGGTTATCAATATCACAATTTTAGTTGGATTTTACCAAAACGTTCTTTTAGCGGTTGTTCTTTGAGGATAATTATTAACCATCAACCACCTCGATATTTATGTAACCAGCACTCGGAATTACATATTTGGAGAAACTGACTCGTGAAGAACAGTTTGATTCTTAATTTCTTTGCCACAAGTGGGAAGGTACACTGACAACCATCCGTTCAGGAAGGGTTGGGCTGCTCAGCAGCCCATCCAGGTTGAACCGTCACCCCAGTGATGGTTCACCAGAACCCCATGAAGATATCATCGAAATGTCGCCTGGGCCTACCCAGCATAAAATGGGGTCAACATCTCACACAGAAACGATAAAGATCATACACAATTTGGGACAACTCATGTGACAAAGCATCATCATGGAATCCATGGCCCATTTTTAGATGATTTATGATGATTTATGATGATTTACCTCTTAAAACTAGAGATGTTCATAGATGTTACAGTTCGCAGCCATCGAGGTTGCTTTGCCTCCCTGCCGGGGATCACCCCTTTGGGCGCCTCGCCTGGACGAGTTTGGGCAGCGAGTGACCAAAACTCATTGGTGGTTTGGAACATGGCTTTTATGACTTTCCATATATTGGGAATAATCATCCCAACTATATTAGGAATAATAAGCCCAACTGAAAAATATATTGGGAACAATAAGCCCAACTGACGAACTCCATCATTTTTCAGAGGGGTGGCTCAACCAACAACCAGGTTGCTTCGCCTTCAAGGTTAGAGACATGAGCATTAAGCATGGGCACGTGGGAAGATAACGACATCATAACGACAGTTCGATGATTGCTCACGGTGGAAACAAAACACAGATGAGGAGAGCGACCAGTGATCAGAATCATATAGAATCATTCTCAGACAACCCAAGCCCCAAGCATCCCCAAGCAGTAGAACGGTTGTGCCCATGTGCAGTGGCTCTACCTGTTGTGGCCCACCCTCCTGGCCACGTCGCTGGAGAGGCATGTCAGCAATGGTTGGGGACCATGAATTGACGAAACTTCTGTTGGAGTCGAGTGCTGAAACTTGGCGGATCGGCAAACGGCACTGGTGAAGAAAGCCTGAGTTTCCCCACAGCGACTTTGCATGTTGGGAACAAATTGGAGATAGGAAACACAAGGGTGCCTATGTACCAACAAACAATTGTTTTTGCGAAATTTCCAGGATCTCAGTTCATGGAAACCAGAAGTCTTCTGCGTGTCAAGTTTTTTGATGTTAGTTTCTCGATCAGAAGGATGGATGAGGATATGGATGCCTCCCTCCTCCCCATGTTGGTTTTCAATAGCTTCTTGACGGGTAGAAGCTAGCAATGCAACTGATGCATCAAGTAGAGCGAAATATAGATGGCAGAGGGAATTATATATTTGGGGCTGATTGATATCATAACTACTGAGGAAAGGATGTCACACTGGCTCACAAGAAATATATAATTCATTGACCTGCTTCAAGTAACTTATATACTATGATCTATGTACGGTGGGTATGTCAAACATATCTTCAATCCACACTAATTCCTTTTGTTACAGTGCATGTTCTGTGCATATCATTTTCCAGACACCTTAGGCCCCTTGGGCTATGGAAGGTGGGATTTTTCCTCAGGTTATTGGAATGGATCACTCCAACAGTTGCTTGACCCTGGGAGGTTGAGGTCTCTCTTTGGCTTGTCAATCCTGGACAAAGCCAGCCTCATCGCTCATTATTGCTGAACTTTTTGGTGTTGGGTGTGTGTGTGTGTGTGGGTACCAGATATCATGTTTGCACTTACTTTGTGTGTGTGTGTGGTATTTTTCCACATATTGTTACATGTTATCGTATGCCTTATGCCTACCTCCAATTGGCTGCCACACAGTCTTTGTTTCTGCTGCTAAGGAGCTGCTGAGCAACGAGCGGGGCGATAGCCCAGAGGATTTGGCACGGCACATGGGACATCTGCGACTGCTTCCTGAGTTGGTCCCCACCTTCTCCACCTGAGACGCCCTGGATCTGCGTTGAATTCGTGCTCCGGCCGAGGCATCAATTCATATCGTGGGGGTTGGGAGACAGGATGAATTGCAGGGCAACTTGGGAGTTGGCAGAACATATTGTGAGACCTTGCAAGAATGATGTCTGGATCAGGTTTGAAGATGGAGAAGGGGATGAAATGTTGGAGCCAAGCAAGTCATACAACATGAAACACCTCAGATGATTCTAGGCGTAAGGGTGATTATGTGCCTTTTGCCCAGGATAATTACAGTAGTGATGGATTCATACACCACGAAGGCTAATATACTCGGGGTTTATTGTCATAAACCGGATAGAACAACGACACACTTTCTTGGGGACGTGTGTTCCACTGTAATCACTAGAAAAATATCTTACTTGTGTCTGAGAGGATGTCATTACAAACTCTGCAAAGATGCAGCTTCCACAGGCCGGAGCACGACGTGCGTCGAAGCGACGAACTGTTAATGTCGGAGATGATCATGGAAGAAATGGCTTTGGACAGCTACGAAATGTCATGATTTGCTTGTAAACATTGCAGAATCACACCCGATCAGTGCACTAAATAAAATCCTAGGGGGCGGAGCTCCCACAATAGTGCCCAGTGCTGGACCAGTGCAAGTCACAGGAGTCCACTCCCAAAAAGACCCCTGCAGTAGATGGACAAATTATTCAAACCCCGCATCCATGTAGGCTACCCCCTGTCCCCCCAAATTTCAACATTATGGTTTCGTATTTTTGTTCCTGATCTTAGGGTTTGATTTATTTCGTCCATTCGAAGGAGCGAACCAGACCAAAAAAACAACATTGTAATTGGGGGTGCGGGGGGTTCTTGGATTACAAGGGTTTGAATAATTCGTCCATCTACGGTAGTTATTCACTCTGTTAGACCCTCTGGATATACCCTCTGGTAAATTAACATAGCTATTGAAAATGGTAGTTCGGCAAGAAGACTCCAAATAAATCTTCTAAATAACTATATGCACAACTCATACTAACTAATCATAATATACTAATCATAATATGTTTTTTTTAACCGCTTATCGCATGTAGCATGTTGTACTAGTCGGTGTTCACCGTGACCGACATAATCTTTATGCAAGATATGCAAGTTTGCATCAAGCTCTTGACTGTTGTGACTGTTGCGACTGTTGTAAAATTCGGCACCAGGTGACCAAATATGACAGCCCTCCATACCCATTCGTCCCAAAATATGGAAAATTCATCCCCCGGTGGTCCTAAGGATTTCCCAGCGGAATAATGGAAGCAATCCACCACCGAAATATCCAAATCTTGAGATGGGAAACCCATCCCAAAATCATGAAACACATCCAACACCTATGCGGCAATCAGCAATAAAATCTTGGGGCCCCCACTTCCCCACTCAGAAAAAACAAATATCCACCACCCAAAATAACACACCAAAGCACCAGCAGTTTCAACAAGACAAATCCATAGGAAGAACAGACACAATCCAGAAGCATATGTTATACGTATATATTACCTGGGGTCCAGGCAGGGAACTGGAGATTTTAAGATGTTGCTGAGGTGGGCCCATGTGGGCCCCCTTAACTATTGGGGCAGGGACGTGTGCATGGGGGGTGGCCAAGTGTTGTTGGCTCAGTTTGGCAAGCTTGAGGTGGACCCCCCATTTATTGAAAGATAATTTAGTGCCTGAGGGGTGGGCCCCCCAATTTATTAAGGGGAACCCACGTCACCAGGGAGCACCAGTTGGGGCTCAGAGTCATAGAAACTAATTTCGGCCACGGTATATTTCACCATCTGTATTCAGAAATCATATGCGGGTTTGAGACGGTTTGAGCAGGATATCTCAAAACATTCCGGAGACAGATTGAAGAGTCTCGACCAAAAACTGACTGTAAAATAGGGTCCCCCCCAATTCCAATGGACTATTGTCATCATTCCCGTCAAATGAAAACTGTGGTATAGTATATACCCTCTGGTAATTCAATTCAACATAGCCATGGAATATCAATTTTCTTCGTTGAAAATACTTTCAAAATTGGCAATTTCTCGTAGCTATGTTAACTCAGTTGTTAACTGACCGGATGGTACCTCATTTTCAGTTTCAGACAAGCCCATATCACCACTGTGGGCATTGGCAGATTGCCCTTTTTTTCCTCTCTGGTAATCAAACACGGCCGGGCTAGGAAATCCCCTAATCAAAGGAAGTTGGGAAGCAATACTTCCGTGTTACGGACAAATAGAATTCTGAGACTTGAAATGATGAAGGGTGGTGCGCGATTGAGAGATTGACCTTGATGAAGGGTGGTGTGAGACTTTACATGACATAACAATACATCAGAAAAGAATTGACCTTGATGAAGGGTGGTGTGAGACATTACATTACATTACATAACAATACATAACAAAAAGATTGACCTTGATGAAGGGTGGTGTGAGACTTTGCATTACATAACAATACATCACAAAAGGATTGACCTTGATGAAGGGTGGTGTGCGACTGTACATTACAGTGGCAGATCGCATTGGAATGGCTGCATGAATGTTGCACGGGCTTTGTGTTGGGGAGGAAGCCGGAGCACGAAACCTTGTGTTTTTCCGTGTAAAGTGGCTGCAGCCGGCGATGAAAGGTACCTCGGCTGTGCGGCGGTTGCGGCTGCGGTTGTTTCTGTCGCGAATTGTTCCTCCTATGTGTTTTGCAACGAGTGGTTGTTCCTGTGTGCATAGTTCTATGCGTTTCTTGAAGCTGTGGTAGCAGATCGCATTGGAATGGCTGCATGATGTTGCATGGGCTTTGTGTTGGGGAGGAAGCCGGAGCACGAAACCTTGTGTTTTTCCGTGTAAAGTGGCTGCAGCCGGCGATGAAAGGTACCTCGTCTGTGCGGCGGGTGCGGCTGCGGTCTTTTCTGTCGCGAATTGTTCCTCCTATGTGTTTTGCAACGAGTGGTTGTTCCTGTGTGCGTAGTTCTATGCGTTTCTTGAAGCTGTGGTAGCAGATCGCATTGGAATGGCTCCATGATTGTTGTCATTTGGTGTTGCCACGTCCGTAGATAGATGCAGGTTTGCTACGGGATGCTGCGAAACGCATTGTAGTGGCTGCGTCAAGGTTGCTTGGTGCAGCGGCTGCATGCGTAATACTATTGTCTTTTGCAGCTGAAGATCGTAAATCGTATTGGAACGGCTGCATCAAGGCTGCGAAAGTGATTTGTCAGCAGATTTTCTCAATTTTGGCGCTAATAATTTTCCTTTTAAAATTCCTTTTGAAAAGTGCTTCAAAATCGTATTTTTTTCGCTTTGGCGTCGAGATCCGGTTTTGGAGCTGCAATTTCCGACGCCATTGCACGTAGTTCTATTGTGTTTTGCAACTCAGTCTCTGCAGATCGCATTGTAGTGGCTGCATCAAGGTTGCTTGGTGCAGCGGCTGCATGCGTAATACTATTGTCTTTTGCAGCTGAAGATCGTAAATCGTATTGGAATGGCTGCATCAAGGCTGCGAAAGTGAATTGTCAGCAGATTTTCTCAATTTTGGCGCTAATAATTTTCCTTTAAAATTCCTTTTAAAAAGTGCTTCAAAATCGTCTTTTTGTCCCTTTGGCGTCGAGATCCGGTTTTGGAGCTGCAATTTCCGACGCCATTGCACGTAGTTCTAATTGTGTTTTGCAACTCAGTCGCTGCAGATCGCATTGTAGTGGCTGCGTCAAGGTTGCTTGGTGCAGCGGCTGCATGCGTAATACTATTGTCTTTTGCAGCTGAAGATCGTAAATCGTATTGGAACGGCTGCATCAAGGCTGCGAAAGTGAATTGTCAGCAGATTTTCTCAATTTTGGCGCTAATAATTTTCCTTTTAAAATTCCTTTTAAAAAGTGCTTCAAAATCGTCTTTTTGTCGCTTTGGCGTCGAGATCCAGTTCCTTAGTAGTAGTAGCAGGAAATGATTCATGAAAGCTTAGATGACATATGAGAAGAGATGAGATGAGAAGAGATGAGATGAGAAGAGATGAGCTGGGATAAGGTGAGAAGAGCTCAGATGAGATGAAGTGTGGAGTGTGAAGGGTGCAGTGTGAAGTGTGGGGCGTGAAGAGTGCAGTGGAAGTGTGGAGTGTTAAGTGTGAAGTGTGGACTGTGAAGTGTGGAGTGTGAAGTGTGAAGTGTGGACTGTGAAGTGTGAAGTGTGGACTGTGAAGTGTGAAGTGTGGACTGTGAAGTGTGAAGTGTGGAGTGCGAAGTGTGAAGTGTGGACTGTGAAGTGTGAAGTGTGGAGTGCGAAGTGTGAAGTGTGGAGTGTGAAGTGTGAAGTGTGGAGTGCGAAGTGTGAAGTGTGGAGTGTGCAGTGGGAAGCGTGCAGTGTGAAGTGTGGAGTGTGAAGTGTGGAGTGTGAAGTGTGAAGTGTGGAGTGTGCAGTGCGCAGAGTGCAGTGTGCAGTGTGACGTGTGAAGACTGTCAAGTGTGAAGTGTGACGTGGAGCTTCAAATGTGACATGTGAAGCAGGACACCAGTTTCGCAGAGTGCACGCACGCACGGGCTTGGCTGGCGCACGGCGCATGCAAGTTCTATAGATGAGAAAGGTCTTTTCTATATATCTTTAAGGCAACTTCCGCCCCGCCTCGTGCGGGTACTACTGGTATAGTATAATTAGGCCCTGTACATAGAGGTTTATAGCTGGGAACGTATTCTATAAATGGATGATTTTCCAACAAGCCATGTTTGATTACCGGAGGGTACCCTTCATTTGCTTCATCAAAGTAAATAGATCCAATACTTGCATGTTATTAAATTTGCTTGGGAACGGGGGATTGCTTTGCCAAAGCATCAGCATGGAGCTAACATGGTCTGCAGATGCAGGTGGTATGGAGACAACGCATCAATCCATGCCGTCTATATCTACATGTGTATGTGTATGCTATACATATATCTATATAATATGTATCTGTAATATGCTATACATTAATTCTATATGTATCTATCTATATATGTATATACACTGTATCTATATATATATATAATATGGAGTATGTATATGTGCGTGTGCGCGTATGTATTTTTTTAGATGG